GTGTGTGTGTGTGTGTGTGTGTGTGTGTGTGTGTGTGTGTGTGTGTGCGCGCGCGTGCGCGCCCACAGTGGGATGTAGGCCAGCTTCCTGTCGAGTTAACTCGCTGTCACAACGACAACAGTAGCCGAGGAAACTATCAGTCAACGCCGGGATGATTCTCGGGCTCTGGGTCACAGCCGCTCTGTAATTGACTCTGTGTGTGTGTGTGGTGCTATAGCTGTTACACCTGGAGCACAGCTAAGTGTAGAATTATTGGTTTCTTTCAGCAACTGTTGGGACAATTAGAGGTTTGTGGAGCCACACCTGAATCCAGACAACCCTTCTTTTTTTAAACTTTATTTAGTATTAAACTATTGTATCAAGTACTAAATGTTTTCACAGTTATGTTGTGCTGACAAATAGTCGCCTGGATTATGTTCACAGTGTGTGAATAAACCCTACATTTATCTACGGTGTTTGATTTTAGGTATTAATTACTCATTTCTCAATTAGATTTTCAAAAACATTTGACTACCTCACAAAATACATCATGACACAGAATGACAGAAACCATGATGGTAGATTGGTGCGTTTGTAGCTACACCTGCAACAATGAATGAGCTGTAATCTGTAGATAAGCCACAAATTCTTTTTGGATGTTATCGACATAATCATGAACCAGGGAAAAAACCCAACCAGGGGGGTGGATGGGTTTATTTGTAAAATATCTTAAGTTACGTCAGTTTGTCGCGTACTTTTTGCGAAAGAATTAAAATTTATTGTGCAGCCGCCGAAGAAACTACTTCACAAAAGGTCACAGGCCTAAAAGGTTAGAATGGATTTACTGGATTTCTGAGGCAAATATCAATATTCATTCATTCATTTTTATTAAAAATCACATGTTTTATAAAGGACGTCACAGATATATAGTCTGGCTTAAAAACTTTCTTCGACCTGCAGACAAAGAGTCAAATATGACAGATGTGTTGAATTATTGAATGAAAAGGTCATTCCTACCAGAATACCCCGTCTGATCAGAGAGGAGGAGGAGGAGGAGGAGGAAGAGGAGGGATGAAGAGTGAGAAATAAATGGTATGAGCTGAAGGAAAGTGTGTGAAAATTTAGGCCAAAACAGATGAAATGGCAGATTAGAAAGAGACGAGGATGTGAGAGGGAGAGGTAGTAAAAAATGAGAGAGGAGGTAGAGGAGGAAGATGGAGGGCAGATGGCGATGGGGGAAGAGAGCGAGAGAGAGATGATGGAAAAAGATGGATGGAGGGATGAAGGGGGGGGGGGGGGCTGTTGACTGTCATGTCCAGCCGGCTGCTGCTGGTGCTCATGGCAACAAGATGGAAATCACTGCAGGATTCAGTTGAGCAAAAGATCCGAAATCTCATCTCATCCAAATATCTCAAATAGTGGCACCTTGTAACCGACCGTGGTCGTGAATCATTCTGCAGATTAAAGTGAGACTCTGAACGGTCTTTTTTTCAGACTAGTGGAAAGAAAATATAAAAAAATTCACATTTAGGTGTTTTTATTTTACTACTTTGTCTGTTTACGTCTGTAGATTTCTCCTAAATTCAGCAAAAGTCACCATTACATAATGCCTCATTTGCATATTTAAATGAAACATTTCAGAAAAAATGTAATACAATAAATACTCTTAATGTGAATGATGAAGTGAAGTTTCATGGTGATATCTATGAGGTCATGTTGTGACTCTATTCACCTGTAGAGTCTTCTTAATGTGAGTGATGAAGTGGTGAAGTTACCATAGCAACCTGCTGCCGATGAGAATTACGCCCTTAAAGGGCCGGTGAGCGCCGACAACATGTCAACACCTGGTAACTGGGTCGGACAGAGGACGAGGAGGTAGGAGAGGAGATAAGAGAGTGACAAGAAAGGGAGGACAGGAAGTTCAGGGAGATGAAGGTGTGGGAGATGAGGAAGAGGAGGAACAGGAGGAGAGATACCAAGGAATGAGATGAAAGGGGGGCGGGGTAAAGGAGAAGAGGCAGAAAGGACGGAGGTCTGTTCCTCACCGAGTGAAATGACCCGGAAGTTTCTAAGTGGCCGCGCCGCCATGAAGAAGGCAGAAGGAGAGGAAGATATTGGAACTAAAGGTGAGACTGTGTGAGAGAGGGAGTAAGGAGAGGAAGAGGAGAAAGACGAGATGATAAAGGCTAGTATAAAGGCCGCTAAATCACACACAGGGCGAGCTGTATTATATATGGATGGATCCAACAAACGCGATCTTTCAGCCAGGAAACCAAAGTTGAAACAAGAAGTCCACATTGATGTTTTATTGTCGTAACTTGCAGACTTCTAACAACGCTTCTGTGGTTATTTAAACGCAATCAATTGCTTTTTACTCGTAGTTTTGTCGCCTAAACCTAACTGAGTTTCCTGTGAAGACGGAACTTTACTTTGAAAAGACTGTGTGCATGTAACGAGAGGAAAGGGTCAAGTGTTGCAGACTGTTGTCGGAAAACGCACGAAAAAATGAGGATTCACTTTTCGTAGGATATTGTACTACGTTGAAAAATGAGGCACCTCACCTTGAACACATCCGTAAAGCTTGTGGTGAATCCTTGAAGCCGACGTCCAGATGAGTTTTTTCCACCTGGATCCATCTGCTCTCATTCATTTAACTGCAGTAAACTGAAGTGGACCCCTAATACATTCCCGGGTTAGTGACGTTCTCTCAGGGCTCCGTCTGTAAGAACTACAGTAGCTTACGAGCCACAAAAGGCTGTAAAAGCCAGATGTTGCTGTCGGGGGTTAAAAACGTTCCCAGCATGCCGTGGGGGATTTGTTTGAGCAGCATATGGAGCTGATGTGATGCTGCAGGAGAGGAAAGAAAACTCCCACTGGTCCTCTCACAGCTCCTGAACTGACTCCCAGTAAGAAACCAACTGCAGCATCAACTACAGCATACTGTAACATGAATCCACCATAACTTCACTACATCTGTGATGTAACCGTTTCTTAATTATATGTGATGTAGTTAAACGTCTCTAAAAACATGGCTGCATAACAGCCGTCGCTCCACCAGATGTTAAGCTCCAGGGATTCAGTCCCATTCAGCCACATGTGTTCGAAAAATACGAGTTCTGTTGAATAGGACTACAGTACCCATGAGCCTCAGCAGCTGCTAAGACACCACATTTACAGAATGCTTATTCTGATCAGAATCTGACCCAAAGATCAAGTTCATTTTATGCTCACCTCTAACTTCACTCATCAGTAGCAACTAGAAGCAGCACGGTGAGTGGATGTTTCTGACCGCAGTGTGTTCTGGGACTTGTAGTTCTCTTCTTTCCTTTCCTTGTCTTGAAGCTTTGACCTTTTTTAAGCCATAGTTGGTCATCGTTTTTATTCCGATGATTCTGTAAAGATCTCTGTGGCGTCTCATAACTTCACCTCGTCTACGGGAGCGAGAAAAAACAGTCATCACAAGGACGACTGACGTTTAGAGACAGGAAGTGATTTCATGTTGATGGTTGTAAACATGACACACAGCTTGTACCAAGTGCTGTTGACAAAGCAATGTAAAAAAAAAGAAGAAGAGTGCGAGTCCCTGTGGATGCTGCTGCAGTCAGTATCGTGTGTGTGCGTGTGTGTGTGTGTGCGTGTGTGTGCGGCTCACAGATGGCCTCCTTGGGCAGCTTGTCATTTAATGATATCATCTCAGTCGCAGGTGAGTGATGTCATATCTGCAGAGTCCACATGGCAGCGCCTTTTTTAGTGTTTTCATCAAGGTCAGATCAGAGGCTCACACACTAAATATGTAAATGTGTGTGTATATGAATATATATATATTTACACAGCTGTTTCTTAAGTACTTAAAGTGAAGTGGTCTTTCACACACAGCCGTGTGGACACAATAGATGTGCTCTGGTAGAGACCTGTCAATCACAGTAGCCCCGCCCTAAAGCATCCCCTGCTTTATGGTCTGTGTGACTCTAAATGGACCATAATGTACTAAATGAACATCATGCTGTATTGAAGAAGACTTGAAACTAGAGATTGAGACCATAAACTCATGTTTACAATGTTTACTGAGGTAATAAATCAAGAGAGAAGTAGAGTCATTTTCTCATAGACTTCTATACAACCAGAGGAGTCGCCCCCTGGTGGACACTAGAGAGAATGCAGCTTTAACACATGAAGCATTGACAGAACCGTAGGTTGCCGTCTGGTACAAACGAGCACCCTCTGGGCTAGACGTCCATTTTTTTGCCAATGACCATATCAGGCTGATGTTGTGTCATTTAGCTGAGTCGACTTATTGATCTGAACTATTCTATTTATTTTCTCTGTTTGCAGCCTGGTTGGTTGGTTAAGAGATTATTTATACACTCACATGCATGATTTACATTTCATTACAACATACTCTTCTCCGGACGACCTCCATGATGGCGCCATGCAGCCGAGGGTTCTGGGAGATTTGTCATTTTATATCAATGCTAATATTAACAATGTTCATAACCTCACTTAACTGTATACCACTCACACAGTAGCTATGTGCTCACATACTTCAGGGTCCAGTAGGAAACCAGAACTTCGCTGTGAGTCGCTGCTTTACTTAAAACCCGTCTGACATTTCCTCTGAGCTCCACGCTGAGCTTCTTACTGAGCGTACAGCTGATCTGAAGCTCTGGTGATGTTTAGAAATGTCTTTCCATTCATCTCTCTCTCTCGCTCTCTCTCTCGCGCTCGCTCTCTCTCTCTCGCTCTAGAATTTTCAGTGACAGCAGTAAGTATCACATGGAGAGGTCAGAGGTCGCAGCACAGCTTTGATATTTCTGTATGTCTGTATAAGAGACAAAAAAAGGAACTAGAAGATATAAATGAAGGATTAATGTGTTACATTTAAATTTATTATAACCAGACATAAATCATACAAGGATCAATAATTAACAGGGTTCAGGATCAGATCATGAAATATCTCTGAAATGGAAAATGAATGTGTAATTTAGAGTGAACTTTTCACCTATTA